TTTGCAAACGCCAGGCCTACAAGAAGTCTGCCAAGAGTTTGCAGATTTCTTCAGCCCCCAGCTGGGAGCTTACAAAGGCCCCCCAGTTTCTTTGAAACTGGACCCCACTGTCACTCCCATTAAGGTGAAAGCAAGGACAGTACCCTTTGCTTTAAAAGGGAAAATTGATGCTGAATTGGACAAATTGATCCAGCAAGGTGTTTTAGAACCTGTTGACTCAAGTCCATGGGAAACCCCCATAGTTACACCTCTCAAAGCTAATGGGTACATTCGCATTTGTGCAGACTACAAATGCACACTAAAAAAGGCATTGCAACAGCATGCATATCCTGTACTTGTAATCAGCCATATTTTGGCCTCCCTCAAAGGGGGGCGTGTTTTTGCAAAGCTAGATTTGGCACAGGCTTATCAACAGTTACCTGTTGATGAAGCTGCTGCTGAAGCACAGACTATTGTAACTCATAGGGGGGCATTCAAAGTCAAAAGACTACAATTTGGAGTAAATGTGGCTCCTGGAATCTTCCAAAGTGTAATGGAAAACACCCTGAGAGGAATACCAGGGGTTTGCCCCTATTTTGATGATGTCCTTACTGCAGGAAAATCTACTCAGAATTTAGCTGAGAGATTGAGGGCTGTTTTGCTGCGTTTCAGAAAAACAGGTCTCAAGCTTAAAAAAGACAAATGCAAAATTGGAGTGTCTTCTACAGATTTCCTGGGATTCAGAATAGATGCCAGGGGTATTCACCCTGCTAAATTGAAGGCTATACTGCAAGCTCCTAGGCCTAAGTCTAAAGCTGAGTTACAAGCTTTTCTGGGCCTCTTAAATTTTTACAATGCTTTCATACCTAATAAAGCTAATGTAACAGAGCCACTTCATAGACTCCTAGACAAACAGGCACTGTGGCAGTGGTCACAAGCATATGAAAAAAGCTTCAATGGGGTCAAGGCCTTACTTACATCCAATGATGTGCTTGCACATTTTAATGAAACTCTTCCTGTGTGCATCGCTTGTGATGCTTCCCTTTATGGGGTGGGAGCTGTACTTAGCCACTTAAGAGCTGATGGAACTCAGGTTCCTGTTGCATATTTCTCCAGAACCTTGTCCTCTGCTGAGCGAAACTACGCTCAGATAGATAGGGAAGCCTTGGCCATTGTTGCTGGAATTAAAAAATTCCATGATTTTCTATATGGCAGACATTTCACGGTCTATACTGACCATAAGCCTCTGTTGGGGCTGTTTACCACAAACAAACAAACTCCCCATATCATCTCCCCTGGAATGCTGAGATGGTCTATCTTTCTGTCAGCCTATGATTTTTCATTGGTTCACAAACCTGGCAAGAAAATGGGCCACGCTGATGGCCTAAGTAGATTACCTTTACAAATGGTGGAGGCTGACCCTTCCCCTGCCATCAACATTCTTTCCATTCAGGCGTTGCCTGAGTCTCCCTTAAATGCCAGGGATGTGGCTGCTGTATCAGCCACGGATCTCACACTCACCCATGTGTTATCATGGGTTTTGTCTGGATGGCCTGAGAGTTGTCCAGGTACTGAGTTCCAGAGTTTCTGGCTCAAGAAGCCTGAGTTATCCACTTTCCAGGGTTGTCTGTTGTGGGGCAGCAGAGTTGTTATTCCTACCTCAATGAGACCTAGAGTCTTAGCTTCCCTTCATGAGGGTCATCCTGGCATTGTTAGGATGAAGGCGCTTGTGCATAGCCATTTATGGTGACCAGGTCTAGACAGGGAAATAGAGGCCCAAGTGCATGGATGCCACTTGTGTCAGCGATCACGCCCTGAAATGCCTCAGGCTCCTGTGCATAGATGGGAGGAGATACAGTCACCTTGGTCGAGGGTGCATGTAGATTACACTGGGCCCTTTCAGGGACAATTCTTCTTGGTACTTGTTGACAGCCATTCAAAGTGGCTTGAGGTTGTTCCTGTCTCTTCCACCACTGCTGCTAAGACTATTCAAGTACTGAGAGGGATTTTTGCTGCACATGGCCTCCCCAAGCTCTGGTATCTGACAATGGTCCTCAATTCACTTCTTTTGAGTTTCAGGCTTTCTTGCAGGCTAACATGATTCATCATGCAACTTCGGCATCATTCCACCCTTCCACCAACGGTATGGCTGAGCGGATGGTTCGCATCACCAAGGATGCTTTAAAGAGACTGACCTACGGGGACTGGCACCACAGGTTGGCAGACTTTCTTCTTGCTTACCGCACCACACCTCCCACTTCCACTGGGAAGAGCCCGGCTGAACTCCGCTGGGGGCGCAAACTGATCACCAAACTTGACAGGTTGCATCCGGACAGACTGCCTCCTAGGGTCACCCAACCCAGGGCACCGCGGTGTCTCCAAGTATGGACCCAGAACTGTGGGCCCGGTCACCTGTGGGTTCCTGCTGTAGTATGCAAGGTCACTGGTCCATTGTCCTACGAGGTTTCGTTGGACAATGGTCGTGTCCTTCACCGGCATATTGATCAGTTGTGTACCAGTGCCTACTCCAGCCAGGGAGTCACCCAGAGGGTATACTCATCATTCACAACCACAATTCAGCACTCCAAGCAGGGAGAATAACCGGGAGCATCCAAACAACCCAAACAATGCAAGAGAACTGGCACACAAACAATTAAGCTGGCCCAGTACTGCTACTGCTTCCAAAAGGAAGTCTACACCCAGGGTGGTAGTCAGAGAGGCAAATCCTGATTCTGGCACCTCCGGCATAGAATGGGGGGCAACAGAGTATTGGGGCACTGCAGAAACCCCAGACAATTCCGTTACAGGGCTTGGGAGTAAAGGGATGTGTTCCCTTGATAGGTCCATTGTGGACGTGGAGAGTTCTACTGAAATGCCAAATACTGGCGGGCACGTAGAGGGGCCCGAGAGCCTAGAGTTAAGCAGGTCAACCAGGTTCAGTGGAGAGAAAAGTCCTGGTCTGACGAGCCCGGTGGGCAAGCAAGCAGACCAGGCAACAGGACACAGTTCACGGGGACCATCAGGGTTTAAAAGAGGAGGCAACTCCACTCCAACCTCTGCACAAGAGGAATTAGGGGGTTCACAGAACCTGAGGAGATCACAGAGAGTAAAAAGATCTCCCAAATACCTTGAAGATTTTGTAACCTTGCTGTCAAAGCAAGAAAGGTGAGAGGGTGCCTGCTGTTGTTGGGGGAACTTGAAAGTGTGAGTGTTGGGCACTTAATTCCAAAACAATAGCCTGGTACCATGCTGGTGGCTAGTGAGTAGCTGCAACAGATGCACAGGTTCCCTGGGTTGGCACACCACACTTGTCTTGAGGTTGGGTATAACTACCTATATAGTTAATAAGTCTCATCCGGGGGGGAAGGGGTGTTGTGTCCTGAGCCTGCAAAGGAAGGCTCAGGACGTTGCAATGGTCCCGGGCTGTTGCAAGCTGCCCGGGACAAGACTGAGTGGCGCCGGCTTCACACACATGCGCGAGGCGCGGAAGCGCGCCAGATTGTTACCTTTTTGGCCCGGGATTCTATTAAAGGAGACACAGAGGCCTGCGAGCCTCAGCGTTGTGTCAGAGAGAAAACTACTGAGAATAAAAGGCTATTGGAATTACAGAATGTGTGCTCTTTATTCGCCGTTGACTCGAGGACTCAATACCATGCATCAGCACACGTGAGTTTAGCTCAGTAGCTCCATTTTTAAAAGAAGAACAGCAGCACCTCAGAAACAAAAAAGGTTCTATTTTGATTTCATTGGCACTTTTGATGCCATTGACCTTTGTTATTCTGGACAGGTTATAGAAATTATATACTGGAGGTGAGTTGAATTAGTTATATTCTTGCTTGGATGGCTCGTTCCAATAGTAGCAGAGTCCCATTAAGGTTTTATTTCTTTCTTCCGTTCTACCTTTGATATTTCAATCAATTTCTGGATGCGAGAGATCCAGAAATAACCACAAAGGATAGATGGTTGAGTTTTATTTTTTTTCTTAACAACCATAAAGAATTATGTGATAATGGATAGAATGATGATTAGGAAATGTGAAGCTAACCGTACAAGAAGAAAATATTGGTATGCATATGTGTTCAAAGTATTCATCCAGTTCTGAATGGGGTTTTCAGAGAGATTCCTGATTCAGTGTTTCCCCTAAAAACCTGAGCAGCCTCTGTGACGAGAAATAAACATTCTTCATCAGCTTTGGTTGATAAGCTAGTTGTCGCTCTTCCTGCAGGTGACAACCTGCCCACCCTGCTGCGGTCATCTTCCAAAGTGTGTTGTTTTCAAAGAGTCTTAAAATTTCAGTGGGCCAAATAATGCTGCAAGATTTTTGGAGATGGAGCAATTTGACATGCCACTCCAGTGATTTATTAGATGCCCAGGATGTTTCTGGGCTCAACATCTAATGTTATTTTGACTTGGGACTAAATTTTTAGAAAGAGTGTGTAGTCTCACATCTTTCAGTTTCAACCACGAACACTTTTTCAGAAGTTGTTTTATTTTATTTTTATTTTTTTGCTCCTGACGTGAAGTAAGGAGAATAGTCTTTATACAGCTAATTTTGTTATTTTGACATCAAGTGAATTTTGTTTTGTTCCCCAGTCTTTTTAGGACCTGTTAATGTTTTCATTGTGTACTATAAATGTGGATTTTTAGTCATACTGTGAGTCTTCTTTCACTCTCTCCTGGTTTTTTTTAATGTGACAGTTTATAGTCATAGTTTTAGTTAGAGATATACAAAGATCTGATACTGTATTCTGCATTTGGGAACCTGAAAATATTATTGAAAATTTTATAGAGATGCAATGAATAAATGAATACATACATATGGGGTAATCCTGCCATTATACAAACATCATGTGAATGTTCTACACATTTGTAAAACATCCTTGTGGCACCAGGAAACCTATAGATTTTATCATTGGTAGTCACTAGGGCCATGAGTAATAAGAATTTTAGCCCAACACAGATTGGAGAATGGCTATTATGAAATATCTTTAAGCCTCAGGATAACGGCAACAATAAAAAGATGATTGACAAATGATGTATTTAATAATAAAATATTTAACAATAAACACTTGTCTGGATTAGTAGGATTAATCTTCTTCATCTTCCTCCACCTCTTCCTCTTCTGAACTTCTGTAGATAGAAAAGGAATAAAAGATGATATTGCAATGTGCTTATAAAACTACTTAGTCTTCTAAACCGTCTCTTCAACTTTTGTCAAGTTGAAGAGACCGTTTATTATAATAGATCCAGAATTTTTATTCTTTTCTGACAAGAGTAAGAAGTTCAGTATTTCAGAGCTGTTGAATTTCTGCCATGCTGAGTAGTGACCATGCAGAAAAGAGCAGAAGAGAGCAACTATACATTACAAAGATCAAGGGAGTCCTAAGACTGGCCTGTCACAATTCTGCTTCTTGATTGCTCCTGTTTGGCTTTTCCAACTGTTCAAGCCGTTAAAGGTAGAAAGATAATAGAAAATCAATACCCGTTTTTTCGATTTCACGTCAGAGCCAATGACACTGCCAAAAAGGGCTTGAAAAGAATAGTGAGAAATTATGAATAACTAGGCAGGATGGCAGGAGTTCAGAGCACAAGCTGTGTTTTCTTCCATATTTCCAACAAAAAGTAGAACGGACACGTTGCTGTTAGTCCCTTTCTAAGAAGCAGAGAATCAGCAATGTTGTCACTGTTTGCTTTCCTGTGAGCTTTTTCTATTGGTGCCTGTCTTGCTAAGAGCTTTATTGATACACAACACACTGTCTCACGAGAAGTGAACTCCTTTATTGAATTAGCCCAGTTTCCTGGGTTGGCACAACCCCTGGAGATATAAACTAGCCAACCATATTTAGTATCTTAAGTGAACCCATCCTAAATATGGATGCTAAGAAGACAGTTCAGGTCCTGAGAATATTAACCATTGTAGGAGCTGCTGTAAGAGGATTCTAATACAGAACGCAGGATGAGAAGCAATTTCAACAACGCTTGGATAGCCAGGCGCTCTAAGGGAAGAGGACTCATTAACCATCCATAGAATCTTCTCACAACAGCTACTTTGGGTTTGGCAGCATCACTTTCTGTCTAGGGTAGGGACAGGGAAAGAGAGAAGTGAAGCCCTGAGGTGAGCAGTAAAATAAGGTTCCAGAGGCCTTCCAAGAAGATTGAGGAGAGGACTACTGTGCTCTGGCCTCTCTTTTTTGACATGTTTGAATTAAATTAGTTTTCATAACATTAATAAATGTTTTACGCTGCCTGGAATTATCTTATGTGAGTTGGGCACTTATACACATTTGTTTAATAAATAAATGAAGATTTCTGTGTCCCTGTAAACAAGCATCTGTGCTAAATGAAAGTTATTTCAATAGGAGGAATAAAATGTTTGCAGTTAAAAAACAATATGGTTTATTCCTAGTAAACCAGTGTTTGGAGGGATTCTTACTATGGCATCCCAGTGTAAATGTACTTAGGAGTAAAACACACTATATTCTCTGGGGTTCAACTGTGAATTGGTTCTATAGATCAGGATGCATATTCCTACATCAAAATCAGAATTGTAATAGGCAGAACACAATGCTATCTTGCCTACCGAGATACTTTAATGAGTCTTTTGAGTTTCCATTTGTTTTTTCCCCACTTCCTACCCTTTCTCAACAATCCTCGAATCTTTTTCTCTAGTTTGCCAACTGAGGTTCATCCCATACCTTCCATTACTTTCTGTCCTGAGCAGTAAAGCTAATTACTAGTACGCAGTATATCGCAGGCTAACTCTGTTCACAGCAAGGAGTTACAGTGCAAGGTTGACTATCCTTTTCTCCTCCCGAGGTTGGTATTGCTCCCAACAATATTTTCCCCATACTGCTAGGAGCATTATTCTGATACTATAAATAGCTCAGAGAGTGCTGCAGAAGCACTGTAGGGTGGTATACAAGTCTACGTGCTTTTGTTAATTCTGTTGCAGGATACTAGCTTCTTTGCCAGAAAGCAACAATTGACTTCTAAATCTGCATTTCCAGATTCTATTAAAAACTGAGCTAATATGAAAACATCATTATATATTTTAACAGACATGGAAAAATATGATCCCCCAAACTGAACATATTAAGAAAATCTAAAACCACCTAAAAATAATTGATGCTCGAAGCTAATCTTTCATATCCGCTAAGTGTATCTTTGCTTTGTATGTCCTGTATTCTAGCAAAGAAGCCACACAAAAGAAAATCCTCTAGGAAAAAAATTCTCTATCCCTTCTTTATATTTTTATCCATTTGGAGTTAGGGTTAGAAAGGAATAATAGTTTAATTTTTTTATGTTTCATTTTAGATTTCATGCTATTTTAATTATATAGTGCTCTAGCGGAGAGCTTTATTAATTTACCAAGCATTTCCATTTCTAAAAAGAGCCATTTTTTAATACCTTATTGCAGCTTTTGTGACTATTCTTCAAAGAGCAAATATAAGATCCAATTTAAATAAAATGCAAAAGCAAAACCGGAAAAGCCTCCAAACTGTTAGAATCAGATAGATAGAAAAATGATGGGACACTGCATCCACGTGTATACAACACAAACATACAATGAACGTACAATAAAGGAGCATCTGCTCCCTTTTGTAATAGGTGTTTGATATTCCAGAACTGGAAGAGGTAAAAAGGTTTTGCTCTTTTCTAGTCTTTCTCCTTCCTTTTCCTATTTCCTACTAGAACTTCTTTCTACTGATGAACAATGAAATAAGCAAGTTATGAGATGTTTTACACATTAAGTATCCTATAAATGTAAATCTGCAAATGCATTCTGAACCACTTCAAAAGTCTTAGAGATACATAATCCCGACTTGCACACTGAAGCCACTTACCCCTTCTTTGAAGTGCCTTCAGTCCCTTCTTCTTCTGTTCCTGAAGCCCTGATTAAAAAAAAATTAAAAGCCAAATTTAAGTATTGCTCTGGGAGCAGTTGAATATTTTATCATCACCTGGCTGGTCAGCTTGGCCTAGTGATTTATTTGTTTATTTATTCAATTTAATTCCACCCATCTTGTTCCAAAGCAGCCTGGGAGGCTTCCAGCATTGAAAGCATTAAAACCATCAAAGATAAATATTTCTAAGACGATAAAAATGAAATTATAATAAAAGACAAAGTTAATAAATAAAAGATAACTAAAAGATATAAAATTGGGGAAGAAGTAGTATGCTCAGTGGGGGAGGGAGGTGGGATTGTCTCCTAATTCATCAACTACCTCCTGGGTGATACTCCCCTCTTGGGGCCCCCAGCCATCTGGCAGAGCCAGGTCTTCAGGCCCTTGTGGAAGGTCAGAAGGGTGGGAGCTAATCTCACCTCAAGAGCTAAGATGTTCCAAGGGGGAGAAGCCATAGCAGAGAAGGTTCCTTCTCCTAGACTCCACCAGCCAACATTCCTTGACTGACGGGGCCTGCAGCTTGCCTCCTCTGCTGGCGTGGGTGGAGTGGGCCAGCCTCAATGGGGCGAGACCGCTCCTCAAGTAACCTTGACTTATGCATGCAGTCAGGTTGGAACATAGTTTGCAGATAAATTAATTTGTGGCACAAGAGGTCAATCCTCTTTTGTGCCCAGCATCAAAAGCATTGTCCAAGGCACTTCTCCATCCCTATTGTGCCAGCAAGAAAATCAATTTTGTAGCATCATTAACTCAGTTCACATATAGAGTAAGAGGATTTCATAAAATTTTCCTTAATGGGGACACCAAAACTAAATTATGCCTCCATGGGAGGGAGGCACTCTCTGCTGTTCAGATTTGGATGGCAAATTATTTTGGGCAGTGTTATGTATTGGTTTGAAAAGTTATGATTGCTATGAACAGTTGTTATGTTATATTTGAAAGAGTCTCCAACTGTTTCAGAGGAAAACTGCAGTTTGAAAATAAGCTGGAAAATATCCCTCAAATTGATTGGTCACCACCTAGTGGTGGCAATGTATAAAAAGCTGTGAGTGTGACAGACTTCACTTCCGTGTTTTCAGCAACAAAGAGCAGTTGTTTTACATAGATCTGGTCTATGTCTCAACAAACTTAATACACAATAGTGGCAACAAAGGTGGGATGCTGCTAAGAAGAGAGAGAGCTGAAGCAGCCAGAAGTCACTAGGGTGTGAGACCAGGTACCAGAGCCCTGATAGGAACCACGTCCCCATCTTGCCTGCCAGTTAAGCCGCACTGGAGGCACAGTCTTCCTGAGGGATTCATCTAGCAGGATTCATCCCCAGGATTCATCTAGCAGCTCCTAGCAGTAGAAAGCATTGACCAAGACCCCGTTTAGCATCAGCTATGGACAAAGTGGGCAAGCTGAACTAATTTGATGTTTCTCATCCTGAATAATGGAGCTCCTACATCTCCAGGGTGGATAACTACCTGCAGACCAACCAGGTGAGAGACAATGGGCTGAAGGCAGCAACCCTTCTCTGCGGGACAGGCGCCATTCGACATCGCGGAGAACCTGATTGCCCCAGCCAGCTTAGAATCAGTCACATACATTGATCTGAAGAGGAGGCTAAAGGAACATTTTGAACCCAGGCTGTCCATTATTGCTTGGCGGCACGCATTTGAGCAAAGAGAGCAGCAGACAGAGGAGTCAGCAGCCAAATTCGTGGCTGCACTAAGATAAGCATCAAGGCTCTGAGTTTCCTGACACAACACAGGGGAACTTAAGGACAAAATCAAGTCCATGGATGGAAAACTTGAATCCTTTCACTAGCAGATAATGAAAAACGAAATGGAGGAAAGGATGGACAAAGAAGAGCAGAGAGTAGATGAAATGAATGAAAAATTAGTTCAGGCTAACAAAGAATTAGAAGCTACAGTTATTTCTCTGGAACTTGAGAAGGCCGCTCATTATCTACGGTTCCAAAATGTAGGTGAGATGAAAGATGAAGATCTGCCAGTAATAATGTCAGATATACTAGCGGGAGCTCTGGGGTCCAGCAGAGAGGAGATGGCCAGTGAGATAGATGAGACTTACAGAATCCACACGAACTATGCAAGACGGCACAATCTTCCCAGAGAAGTACACATCAGATTTATCAGGAAATCAATTAGAGATGAAATTCTCTTCAGGTTCAGAGATGACTCATTGGAATACTGAGGTAAACAGCTGATTGTACTTAAACAAGTACCTAAAAGAGTGAGAGACTTGAGAAGGCCCTACCAACAAATAACTTTTAAACTGACGAGGAAAAATATTAACTTTAGATGGTTGACCCCGGAAGGGATTCTGGTTACATGGCAGGAGAAAAAGTTTCGCTTAGACTCAATAGATAAAGCAGAGGAATTCTATAGGAAAAACTTTGGCAGCGAGGAAGATTTAGTTGAAAGAGAGGTAAGAGAGGAAGGAGAGATACAAACTCAGGCCACTGAATCTAAAAGCAAATGAGTCGAGTTTAGAGAAGATATTGATCATGGGAAAAATGAAGGGAAATATGAGGAGAATAGACCTAAAGAAATTAAAGAGGCTAGACCGACAAGATTGTTAGTGGAAAGAGGAAAGGATTTACAAACTCAAGAGTCTAGACCGACAATAGTAACCAGATCCAAACATAGATAAGGAGGGGAAAAAGGTGTTGAATCCATATTCATCAATATTAATGGCCTCAACTCTCCAACAAAAAGGAAAAAGTTTTTAAATAAGCTTAATAAGATGAACTTAGATATAATTATGCTACAAGAAGTTCATATAAAAAAACAACATCAATATTTATTAAACTGCCCTAAATTGGGAAACATGTTTGCGGCACTTTTGCAATACAAGAAAGGAGGAGTGGTAGCATATATTAAACAGGAAATTTTGGCAAAACAAATTTATAAAGATGAAGAGGGTAGAATTCTAATAGTGGAAATAATTTTGAATAAAATTAAAATTCTCCTGGTAGGAATTTATGCCTTGAATGAAGGGCAAAAACAATTCTGTAAAAAACTTCATAACATTATTAATCAATTGGAATATGATAACATTTGCATAATGGGAGATTACAACACAATTGTAGATAAAAACCTAGATTATAAATGTGGAAAGAGTAGAAAAAGAATCAGAGGAACAATACCTGATACATTCCTAAAAATGGCAGATGAGCTCAATATTCAGGATAATTGGAGAGAGAGGAATTTAGGGAAAAAACAGTTTACATTCTACTCTGGATGTCATCAATCATGGTCCAGAATTGATATGGTTTGGATGTCAGCAGTCTTAAATTTAGAGGTAGAGGAAATTGTAATTGATATGAACTCCTGGGCTGACCAGGGCAAAAAAATATGAGAAGATGGACTCTGAAAAGAGCAATCCTAAAACACAAAGAATTTAAATTGAAATTGGAAGAACAAATGGACCTGTTTTTTGAGACAAATAAAAAGGAATATACGAATTGCCAAAACTTATGGGGTACAGCCAAAGCCTATATGAGAGGCACTGCAATTTCTTACATGGCCAGGGAACACAAAATCAAAACACAACGACAAAGACACTTAGAAGAAAAACTAAGTAGAGGAAAACTTACAAAAGGAACCACAAAGAGATTTGAAACAACTGGTAGACCTAATTAAGCATAAGATGAATATTATTGGGAAGCACCCATCGCTTACTATTCCAGAACGTTATCCCCTGCAGAGAGGAACTATGCACAGATAGACGAGGCTTTAGCCATTGTCGCTGGAATTAAAAAATTCCATGACTTCCTATATGGGCACGCCTTCACCATTTTCACAGATCATAAGCCTCTCTTAGATCTCTTCATAGCAGACAAGCAGACCCCACATATCCTTTCTCCTAGGATGCTGTGTTGGTCAATAGTCACGGCTTCCTATTCTTATAGGATAGTCCATAAGCCAGGCAAGGAAATGGGCCATGCTATGCACTCCGCCAACTGCCCTTGCCTTACACAGACCCCGACCCAGCACCTGCAGTTCTCATCTTGGCAATCCAGAATCTCCCTGGAGATGTGGCTGCTGAAACTGCCGCTGACAGAACACTCAGTCATGTTCTGAATTGGGTATTGAGGGGGTGATATCTGATAGCAAACCAGGTCCAGAATTTCATAGTTTCACTAGCAGAAAAGATGAGCTGTCAACTCATAAAGGCTGCGTGCTATGGGGAAGTAGGGTAATAGCCCCACCCACATTAAGAAACAGAGTTTTAGAATCTCTGCATAAGGGTCATCCAGGCATAGTTAGGATGAAGGCACTTGCTTGGAGCTACTTGTGGTGGCCTGGCCTGGATAAGGACATTGAGGCTCAAGTATGGAGCTGTCAGGAGACCTGTCCTGAAATGCCTCAAGCACCAGTGCATTGCTGGGAGACCACACAAACTCCTTGGTCTCACATGCAAATAGACTTTGCAGGATCCTTCCAAGGATAGGTGTTCCTCATTGTTGTGGACAGCTACTCTAAATGGCTAGAAGTAGCACCTGTCCCATCTATGACTACTGCCAGGACCATCCAGGAACTGCAGAGAATCTTTGCCAGGCCTGGCCAGCCAGATGTAATTGTGTCCGATAATGGGGCACAATTCACAGCAGCTGAGTTCCAGTCCTTCCTGAGAACCAATATGATCTGACATGCTACCTCAGCCTCTTTCATTCTGCTTCAAATGGTCAAGCAGAATTAATGGTCAGAATGATCAAAGAAGCACTGAAGAAGTTAACAACGGGTGACTGACATCATTGCTTAGTGGATTTTCTAGTCTGCCAACATACTACTCCTTGCACTACTACGGGTCACAGTCCAGTGGAATTGAGATGGGGATGTCGGCTGACCACCAAGCTGGACCATCTCCACCCTGACAGGGCTGCTGTGGAAGCATCGCAACACAAGCCTCCAAGAAATTTACACCTAGGTGAGACTGTGTGGGGAAGAAACTACGGGGAGGGAGCACCTTGGATGGCTGCTGTTGCAAAGGTGTCAGGGGCACTGTCCTACGAAGTGGCCCTGGACAATGGTCATGTAGTCCGATGCCACATAGGCCTGTTGAGGTGGTGGCAGGCTAGACAGAGCCTTGGCACTGACAGTGAAAGGACCATTGGGTTGCCTGGTGACCTTGTCATGCCAGAGTCACTCAAGACTATTGAGACTGTTCCTGTGATCTGGGATCACCAACAGACTGTGTGCCGAGTAAGCCGACTGTGTCGTGAGTAAGTATAGCGGCACTGGCCTACCTGGCATTAATGGATATAATGGCACCGGTCTACCTAGTACGAATGAACATAGAGGTATCAGTCTACCCGGTATGAACGAATATAGAGGTACCAGTCTACCCGAAGTAATCAGACTAAAGGACCCTGGTCTACCCGGCACAACAGGATGGATGGTTGATCGAGAGCCCCAAGCAATGTTCCGGCACACCGAAAGGACATGCAACGCACTGGCCTATTTAAGTGATTATGTACATAGTTTACACTAAGTATGACTCTGTCCAGGGGGAAGGGGTGTTATGTATTGGTTTGAAAAGTTATGATTGCTATGAACACTTGTGTTATATTTGAAAGGGTCTCCAACTGTTTCAGAAGGAAACTGCAGTCTGAAAATAAGCGGGAAAATATTCTTCAAACTGATTAGTCGCCGCCTAGTGGCGGCAATGTATAAATAGCT